TCTTCACTTAATGTCCTCAAAATATTGCCTTGAGGGACCAGCAGTTAGTGTAATGGCTATGTCGCTGGATTCCCACGTAGTCGACCGCAGTTCGCGTCCCAGACCCAGTGACTTAAAACTCACACCGGGCACGTGTGCGTGCATACCCAAGATCCCAAGAGGGAAATGGAGGAGAAGGGATTGCGGCATGGCCATCCCCCTTGGGGGGTGATTTCTTGCTTTCTGTCTCTCTGTCTCTCTCAGAGAGTCTGTCTGGTAAGTGCACACTCCCTATAGCGAAAAACTCTCCAAAAAAAAGGAAAAAAAAATTGCCTTGAATGACAAATTTTCATTCTTTTTAATGACTGTATAGTAGTCCAGTATGTACAGAGAGCATTTTTTTTTTATTATATACTTCTTAACCTTTTGTAAAAATTATAGTTCTTTGCTATAGGTATGTTCGCTTGCAAGAGAGAGGGAAAGTGAGGGGGGATGACCACACCAAAATCACTTCATTCTGCTTTTGGGATTTTGGACATGCATGCACATGTGCCCAGTGTGATTTTTAAGCCACCGGGTCTAGCACTCAAACTATGGGGTGCCATGTGAGAGTCCAGAACCTTAACCAAAACACCACCTGCTGGCCCCACGTGTCAGTTTTTATGCCAATACCATGCTTTTTGATTAATAGAGCTTTGTAGTATATTTTTAATGGGGTAGTGTGATGCCTACAACTTTGGCCATTTTGCTCAGTGTTGCTCTTGCTGTTCAGGGTTTTTGGTGATTCCATATAGGTTTTAGGATTTTTTTTTTTTTTAATTTTCTGTGAAAAATGACATTGGAAAACACAAGGGAGGTAAGATGTTCAAAAGTTCATGGAAACTGTATTATGAGAAAACTACACATTGGTTTCAACATATTTTTAAACTAAAATTAACTTATGGGCCAGCTCCATGGTCTGGTAGCTAAGGTAGCCGCACTCCACATGGCTGACCATGCAGTTTGAGTCCTAGACCTGTCAGAATTGAGAAACATGCCAGGTGTGTGTGCATGCATAGCCAGAAATCCCAAAAGGGAGCAAGAGATGGAGAAGAAGGAATTGCAGTGTGACAATTCCCCATCTGGGATGCTTTCTCCACCCTCCTCTCTCATGAGCACACGCCCTCTGGCAATTTAAAAAAAAAACTGGAGAAGCTCTTGGTAGACAGTACTTTAACCAATTAATTAAAGCCCAACTATCAGTGATTTGACAAATCAAAACTGTGTGACACCTGATAAAATGCAAGAAAAAGGTAGTACTACTTCTGTGATATTCTTGCCAAAAAGATAGAACCTGAATCTGAAATAAAACACCAGGCAAATCCAAAGTGAGGGAAAAGTCTACTACATAACTTGTCTGAAATCTTCCAGAAAGTTAAAGTAATGAGCCAAGGAAGGGCAAAATGTTTCAGCTTGGTGGAGACTAAAAGAGACATAACTAAATGCAAAGTGTGATCACTTGATTATGAAGAACACTGGTGTCACAGCTGTTCAAACTTGAATGGAGTCTGTGGATTAAATAATAGTAATATATCAGTGTTAACTTCATTAATTTGATAGTTACACATAGAATAATGTCCTTATTTGTAGAATTACACACTGATATTTGGGATGAAGCTTCATGGGTCAGTGGTTCAGGGAACAAGGTTCTTTGTACTTTTCTTGCAACTTTCTGTAAGTTGGAATTACTTCAAAATTAAAAAGTTCAAAGTGTAATCATAAAAATTCTTTTCACAATAAAAAAAATCATATCATGGGCCAGCAGGTGATGTAGATAAGCCACTAGACTCCCACATGGCCATCCACAGTTCGAGTCCCAGGCCTGGTAGCAGGTGCTGTGGTGGTTCAGGCACTGGATTCCCATGTGGTCAACCATAATTCAAGTCCTAGACCTGGTGGCTTGAAAATTATCCCCGCAAGGGGCTGGTAGATGGCATGGTGGTTAAAACGCTGGACTCCCACGTGGTCAACCATGGTTGAAGTCCTAGACTTGGCAGCTTGCTTTCTCACTTTCTCCCTCTCTCTGTCTTGTTCTGCTCAAATTAAATAATAACATTAAAAGAACACACACACTCACACGCACACACTGGGCGCGTGTGACCCAAATCCCAAGAGGAGAATGGAGGAGAAGGGATCACAATGTGGCCATCCCCTTTGGGGAGTGCTTTCTCACTTTCTGTCTCCAGCAAGCACATGTGCCTTATAGCAAAAACCTAAAATTAAAACAATGAAAGATTTAAAAATTCTGAAAAACTTATATCATGGTTCATTCCTTATTTGGACTTAAAAACAAAGAAAGGGGCCAGATAGTGGCACCACAGTAATATAGTGCTCTGTAAGGCTAACTCACTTGGGAGGTTTCTGGGTGTTCATCTGCAGAGCTTCCTGATCTTAATGGGCATATGCATGCCCATGATTGGGGGCTGACTGAAGACGGGTTGGATGAGGACCCTGCTAGGGGAGCCTTCTCTCTCCCTCATTTATGGAAGAAATCAGAATTTTTTTTTAACAAATAAATAAAGCTCCAAAAGAAAAGATCTGGGCTAGCAGGTGGTGTGGTGGTTAAAGTGCTGGACTCCTGCATGGCTCACCACGATTTGAATCCCAGAGCTGGACCTGACAGCTTGAAAATCATGCCAGGAGTGTGCATGTTTGTCTAAAATCCCAGGAGGAGAATGGAGAAGGAGTTAGTTGTGTGGTCATCTCTTCTGGGCGATGATTTCTCATGTTCTCTTGCACTGTGTCTGTCTCTGGTGACAGACCCTATGGGGTGGAGGGAGGGAAATTGCCAAAGAATGATGCTTTTCTCTCTTTTTTTTTTTTTTTTTTTTTTTTGAGAGGTTTTTGCTATAGGGCGTGTGTACTTGCCGGAAAGAGACAGATAGCGAGCTCCAGGGAGGGATGGCCACGCCGTAACCCCTTCTCCATTCTCTTCTCGGGATCCTGGGCACGCATGCACATGTGCCCAGTGTGAGTTTAAGCCACCGGGTCTGGGACTCAAACCGCGGTCGACTACGTGGGAGTCCAGTGACATAGCCATTACACCAATTGCTGGTCTCAATGCTTTTCTCTTACAAGATGGAAATTTAACTTCTAAATTTACTTTGTATAACTTGCAAATGTAACTATCATACTTGGGAACTTTTCATTTTGCCAGTTTATTTTTTTTAAACTTTTCTAGGTATTAAAAGTTGATGTTTTTCCCAAAATAAATCACAGACTGTATTTGGGACAAAGAATTATTAAGATGTACAAAAGCCTCTTTCGCTAAGTAATTTCTAATTTAAACAAATCTTTAAAAAGAAAATCATAAAGCCGATTTTAAAACTATTTCTATGGGACCAGCAGTTAGCATAATGGCTATGTCGCTGGACTCCCATGTAGCTGACCATGGTTCGCGTCCCAGACCCGGTGGCTTAAACTCACACCGGGCACGTGTGCGTGTGTGCCCAGGATCCTGGGAGGAGAAGGGATTGTGGCGTGGCCATCCCCCCCCGAGGGTGATTTCTCACTTTCTGTCTCTCTCTCTGTCTGGCGAGCACACAGGCCCTATAGCAAAAACCTCTCCAAAAAAAAAAAAAACTATGTAGGCAAAAGGGAAACTAGTATACATTACCTTATGTTCCCAACTCTGCCTAAAACAAATGCCTACATTAATTTTTAACAATCTGTGTCTCAAAAGTATGTGGATATTTGGAGTAAGCATTTATGGCTAATGTTTACTCTTTGCTTGAAATTTTTCATCATCTCAAGAATAAAAGTTTAAGAAGTAGAATTCTTCTAAGTTTCCTTAGGATGTTCTTGATTCTCCCACATTACAGGTCCCCTGGATTCAAAGTTGAGCCAAAGAAAAATGCAAGACTGTCTCCTAAATTATTTAACTCTCAATTGTAGCAAACTTTCCCCAGAACCTGAAAAACAGCCACACAGAATTACCATTTTATCAAAAGTTTATTTCTGTTATCCCTTTCTGGCACTGAAATACAGAAGAAATCATTTGCTATTCACCTATGAAACATATGGTTTCAGAGTGGTAGGCTGACTTCATGTCAGTTAAAACCATTTTCTAAAGTGAATCTGGATAGCCGTGAACTATGTTTAATATAGAGATGGGAAACAGTGAGTAATCCAATACTATCCAAGTCACAAGTGTTCTTTAAAAAGCTTCAATGTCTGAATTAGAGTATGGAAATTACACTTAAATCTGAAACTTTCATGAGGTTCCTCTCAGAAACTTTTCTCTTAATGACCCATCTATTTTCTTTAGGTTTAGCTTATTTAATAATATTTTTCCTCTTCATAATACCAACTAGTGATTAATTTCCTAAGAAATGATAATTATATGGGATTATATGAAATATACTTGGGCTATTTTTTGTAACCTTTTTGATTTGATATCTAAATTCCCAAAGTCAGTTCTAAGAGTAATATGAACTTAATTGGCATCCTGCACACACCGGATGCTCAATAACAGGGCATACTAGAAAGGAGCCTAGAGACAAAGAAATTTCAAGTCTAGGCCTACATACAGAGGTAACTAAAAAATGTTAGATAAGTCATTTAACTTCTTTGGTTTTCATGTTTGTAAAATGGACACACTATCCTACAGGACTTAAGACATTTCAAGTTGGATAATATATGGAAGCATTCTGAAATAATATCAGTTTACCTTTGTTTAGCAATCTCAATTTTTCATAATCTTAACCTTAGGATTGAAGTTAATGAAGGCACTTGTTTCTCCTTTGTAAGATTTAGGAGAGTCTCTTAACCATGGCAGGCCTCAATCCTGAAGATTTCACTTTCCCTCCACAGGAGAAATATATTGACAGTTTTAGATTGTCAAAGTAGTAGCTTGAGGTCGTTAAGATTTGTGACAAATCACAACCCAAAGTACTTCTGTTTAAATAGCTTATTTGAGTCTTACCAGGAAAATACTAATGATGTCAGATTTGCATTTGGTAGAATATTATAGGATACTGTGCTGCATAAATCTAAATAAATTTTATTCAAGTAATTAAAGAAATTTAGAACATGATTTTAAAGGTGATGTGCCTCTTGTGAAGGGAAATCTTGAAGAAATGACAGCTTCTCATATTAACAGAGAATGTGTCCTCTTTGCTTCCCTCTCTAGATCAGAGAATTAAGAGGGAGAATGATTTCATTACTTATCATTTGATTTGTAGGGGTAAGAGAGGGAATGAGAAAAATCATAAGATATCCTTGTAACAATTTACCATACAGTATACACATATATAGATCCTGAGATGTTACAACAAATTCAAAACTAGATCAACATGATCCAAATTATTTCCAAGACACTAGTATGGCGAGTACACAGCCATTGTAGAGTGGAAGCTGCATGGTGTCCACACAAAGCCGGGAAAACCCTACTCTTGGTCTCCACATCTGAAAGCTAGTCATCCAGAACGGGTGGCCAGTCGACGTCTACAGACTAGAGGAAGAAAACAAGTCATTAAAACAGGGATTACTTTTATAGTAAGCCTTTGCTAATCGTGCTGTGTAAATTTAATTTTTGTAATATAATGCAACAGAAGAAATTACACTTGAAAGAGCTATCAAACACTACAATTTAATGCTGTAAAGTCCACCCTAAGAATTCTTGGGTGCCAGGTTTATTTCTGAATTAACTGAGAAGCGGTATTTGGCTACATGGCTGGTTATTAACTGTGTCTTTTGACTGATAATAGAGTAAATTTAAACTTTATAAAGGTCACTTATGGGTAAAGTAGCCAAGAAGTTCAGCTAGCTACACCAGTTTTCCCTCAGGGGGCTCAGCAACTCTTATTCTTCTCATCTCTTCCATTCTCTCATCTTTCGTTTGACAAATACTCAAGTGTACGTAAACCTTGTGTGAAACATTATAGCTAAGTGTGAAATATTTATCTTTTATGAATATGAAAGATCACCTGGAACTAGAAAAGTGATTGAAGATTTGCAATTCACTTCAGCAGAATTTTTTTTTTTTTTAAATCTAACTTATCTGTATCTAGTTTCATTTTACTCTTCCAGAGCAAAACCTTGACCTTTGAGTCACCATAAAATTATACCAAGCAGACTATTTTGTCTCCACATAAACGATCACATTTCAGGTCGTCTTAGATATATCAAAGCACACCTTGTTTTAACTATTCTAGGGGACCTACTGTAAGTTTAAAAAATTCACTTACCTGTAGCGTTTACTGACCTTTAAAGTTTAAAACCTGAGATGATTTAAGATGATGTACTGAAAATGTTTTCATTATCCCGTGAGCACTTCACACACCAGATTCATTTTTTAAAAGTATTAGAAAAGCCCAAATATTTGTGTGTGTCTGAGTGTGTGTGTGTGCGCATGTCCTTCACAGACCTCATATTTTGGTTCTGCTTTAGAACAAATATAGCCATATGCCAAACACCCATACATAAGTTCACGGGTAGTTTCTCAAACTGAAATTAAACATTACCATCAGTCTTTGTGTGTTGGGGTCAGGGAAAGGTAGGCATGTTGAAGTTTTTAAAAGCTCCACAGGTAATTCAGTTGCCAATGGGGTTGAGAAGATACTGCCCTGTGATTTTGACTTTCCTAAACTGTTTTAAGAATTAAAACAGTTGAAAGGATGAATGCAGCTATGATATCCTTTAATACGACGGAAAGTTGCCTTCCTCAGGATGATAGTCTCAGTGAAGAAACTTCTTCAACCTTGAAGATACAGACACTGGCTGTACTGCAGGCACTGTATATACAATCTAATCTGAGAGTATTCGTGATAATTACTTGCAAGGTAATAATTCCCCAGTGATCATTTAAAAACAAGCATAGTTTTTTTTCACACTAGACAACTATACATCTTTTTTTTTTAATCACTTTAATATTATTCCCAAGTGCAAAATTCTTGCCTCTCCTAAGATTACGGGATAGGGTTGGAGGATGGGGAGGGACTCAACTAATCAGATTTTGATCAAGGAGCACAGTTTGAGACTCAACATCTAGATGTGCAAATGTTTTAAAAGTTTATGGAAAATTGAAAGATTCATTCTTGTAAGTACCTTAGAATGTAACCTTGTCTTAATTCAGACTGTAAGATCAGAGAACCTGGACAACATCATAGGAATCCCTTAGAGAACTGCATTTGTTAATAACCATTGGCTCATCTCATTGCTCTGGTACTAAATATACATTTCTGAATAAGCTGCCTTAAATTCTTCATAAAAACAAATAGTATGGAAATGAACTCTCCAGAGTCCAAAGAACATATGAAGGGCAGTCAAAACTTTACTGCCCTACTTGGCTTAACAGTTTAGATCTGATGCCATATATAAAGAACAGTTAGTAAATTAACTATACATTTGTATGAATCATAAATGAGACCTTGTATTGTTTTAAAAAATAAAAATTTCAGACACTGTCCCTGGAATACAACACTACTTAATGAGATTTTGATCATTTTCTAATACCTATGAAGTAGGACAGTGCTATTTGACCTAATGCTCATAACTTTGGCTGACTTCAGATTGCAAATGTGCATTCCACAATAGCATGGTTTACCTCAACGTCCAGCTCAAGTATGTCTGCTGTCATGTTCATCAGAGAGCCAACATTTGGCTTGGTTCTCCCAAAGTCTCCATGTACAAACTCTTTAATGTAGCTGGGGTTTGTTCAGGAAAAAAAAACGAAGATAGCCATGTAGCACTAACTCTCTGGTAAGACTGAGACGTGAAAAGGAAATAATAAAAGAAGAAAGGTTACAAAGAGAGGTTATTTCTGAGCTCTCCGTTGTGCTGTGTGCCTTAGAACATAAGCTACCACCCTGTTCCTACTAGCCCGGCAGCCAATGTCAAGATGGCACCTGCATTTACATCAAGCTTATAAAAGTCATGGTTTTCTTTCTCTATAGCCCATCTCCCAAGTGCCAAGGTTTGGGTATGGTTTTTAAAAATTAGCTGTAGGGACCAGCAGATGGTGTAACGGTAATGTCACTGGACTCCCCACGTAGTTGACTGCAGTTCAAGTTCAAGACCTGGTGGCTTAAAACTCATGCTGGGCATGCGTGTGCGTGTGCCAAAAATCCCAAGAGGAGGATGGAAGAGAAGAGACTGCAGCATGGCCATCCTCCTGGGATGATGATTTCTTACTTTCTATAGCAAAACTCTCTCTCTCTCTCTCAAAAAAAAAAAAATGCTATAGATTAATGTTTAAAACAAAAAGAACTAAAATCTGTTTCCCTGTCACAATTTCAATTTTGTCATCTTCTGGTCCCATTTTTCAATAGTAGAAGCTGGTGGGGCTGGCAGGTAGCATGGTGGATAAAGGTGCTGGATTCCCACATGGCCGAATGTGGTTCGAGTCCCAGACCTGGCGGCTTGCTTCTCACTTTCCCTCTCTCTCTCTCTCTCTCTCTCTCTGTCTCTTCTGATCAGATTAAAAAATAATAAATAATAATAGCAAATGGAATTAAATAATAATTTTTAAATGATAATAATAATAATAGAAGGTGGCATCTATCAGTTGGTAGTTTTCCCCAGGGTCACCCAAGCAATGAACTCAATGACAGCTTTCCTTGTAATGTGACCCAGTGGCAACAGGCTGGGAGGAACAATGAGAATGTTAATTTAGTCTGGATGTAAGTCCTTCAGAAGGACTTTCAAAGGGCCTAAGTTTTAGTTCCTCCCTAACATGGTTAGTAAAAGAATGCACTCTCTAATGAGTGCATGTGCCCTGTAGTAAAATAAAACTAATAATGATTAATTAAAAAAAAAAATTAAGTTTACTCTCTCTTTTTTAAGGGGCAACTTTGTATTTCCCTCACAGGTCCTCAAATTTTGAAGTCCATGACTAATCTTAGAATTTCTTTCTAATAAGATCACATTAACCCCTTAATAGGACTCTACTGCAGCCTCAATACTGTTTATCTGAAGGATATGTTTCTGCTAGCATTTTATAAAACTAACTCAGCATTGTGTTGTGTTCTGTTCTATAAACCAGCATTCCATAGTTAATAGAATTGCATATGAAAAATAAATTTATTGGGACCAGCCATTAGCATAATGGCTATGTCGCTGGACTCCCATGTAGTCGACGCAGTTCGAGTCCTGGACCCGGTGGCTTAAATTCACACCAGGCGCATGTGCATACGTGCCCAAGATCTCAAGAGGAGAATGGAGAAGGGATTGCGGTGTGGCCATCCCCTGGGGGGATGATTTCTCGCTTTCTGTCTCTCTGTCGCTGTCTCTGTCTCTCTGGCGAGCACACGCGCCCTATAACAAAAACCTCTCCAAAAAAAAAAAGAAAGAAATTTATTCTCAGATGATAAAAAATTAACACTATGATATGCCATGTACAATCTCACTTTCTGAAAGTTTTTTCACTCAACCTTCACCAAATGTTTCAATTCAAACATAAGTCATGTAATAATCTAGTAATTACATTTTTACTAAACTCATAATTACTCTACAGTTATCCTTTTTTCTCACTTTCTTTAGAGACTGCTACTTCTGAGAAGTAATGATGAGGGGAGATGGTCAAAAAGCCTGAGGGTAAACAGTTAGATGATCCAGACAGGTTCTTATTCCAAGCCAGGATAAGGTTTTAAGTCAAATGAACTAGCTCAATGTAGAGGAGCAATATTAATATTCAGGGTGTATACAAAAAATTAGTACATGAAAAATGTATATACATCCATATATAACCATATGGAATCTAAGACTTTATCAAATAGTCACCCTTGGCTAAGTTAAGTACACGTACATAGCTGTTCTAGAAATGTCTGGGATTAAAAAGACATTCCTCTCTCCAGAAGTATCACACCTCTCCTTGGCACACAAAAACAAAAGCTATGACTGGGTAAAAAGATTTATAACAAAGATAAAAAGATTTGCTCACTAAAGTCTAAACAAGTCATCCATTGATTGAAATGGAAAAATATAGAATATTTTTATAGAGATTTTTGCTATGGGGTGTGTGTGCTTGATGGAAACAGAGAGACAGAAAATTAAAAATCCCCCCTTGGGAGATGGCCACACTTCAATCCCTGCTCCTCCATTCTCCTCTTGGGATTTGGGGCATGCACATACACCTGATGTGAAGTTTTTTTTTTTTTTTGGAGAGGTTTTTGCCATAGGGCACGTGCGCTCGCCAGACAGACAGAGAGAGACAGAGAGGCAGAAAGCGAGAAATCACCACCCAGGGGGGATGGCCACGCCACAATCCCTTCTCCTCCATTCTCCTCTTGGGATCTTGGGCACGCACACACATGCGCCCGGCGTGAGTTTTAAGCCACCGGGTCTGGGACTTGAACCGCAGTCGACTACATGGGAGTCCAGTGACATAGCCATTACACTAACTGCTGGTCCCAACCTGATGTGAGTTTTAAGCCACCAGGTTCGGGACTTAAACCACGGTTAACTACATGGGAGTCCAGCGATGTAACCATTATGCCACCTGCTGGTCCAAAACTTTAGAATATTTTAAAAGTAAATAACCTATACCTGGTTTAGCTGAGTAAATTCAGGTAACTTCCGGGAAAGGTAAATGAAGGAAGAGGGGAAAGGAGGTTGGTGGGGAAAGAGAGGGAGACTAGTTAGACCCATGCAGTGATAATGCTGTTTGATGACTGACACTTGATACTTTTGATACCTTTTTAATATACATAAGCACGTGTTTTGTGCCACCTGGGAGGCATTTTATCATTATATGCTATTGGATCAAAAAATAATGTAAAACCAAGAAACAAACAAAAACTAGGAATATATTTGAAAAATAAACTAAATCTAGGGACCAGCTAGATCCACTGAACAGGCCCAGGTTCACATCCTGAGGCTTCATTGTGAATGCACCTGTGATCTGGCTGGCTGAGGCCAGGGGCTGGTGTGGCATGAAGGACCAGTTCAAGGATGCTTGCTCTCTCCCTGACCCCTTCCATCTCTCTCCTTCTCATGGCGGAAATAAGTAAATACCTGAAAATAAATAAGCGAAGGCTAGTGGACCTCCCCTATACATGTTTTAATTTATTTACTTAATTTTATTTATTCATTCATTTATTTTAATTGACCAGAGAGAGAGACAGAGAAAGAGAGAGGGAAAGTGAGAAAGCAAGCCACCAGGTCCAGGACTTGAACCATGATCAGCCATATGGGAGTGTCCAGTGCCTTAACTACCACACTACCTGCTGGTCCCACCCTTACACGTTTTAACCAGCAATTCAGTACTGACACAAAACCAAAATCAGGTCATATTATAAACAAATTATCAGCCTTGGACTATGAATATTTAAATTCTTATATGCATAATAAAGTTTAAAAAAAAAACACTGCAGTCTGAAAATGGTGCTAATGCCAGCACAGAATCACTGTCAATCAGGTTTATATTGTTTCAGACAAACTATATGTAATCCGAAGTGCTTTGGTTTCGTTTTTTCACAAAATATATAGGGAAATATTTGCTCTTGTTCTGGGCCAGTGGCCAAATAAAGCAAAGATCAATATGCAAAATAGTGATATTCCCTTCCCTTCTACCACCCACGTTTAATCACCTGAGGCAAATGCCTGTAATGCTGAAAGGACCCAAATATGCTCATTAACAAATATACAGACAAAATCAATCAAAAGTGTTTTCTGAGTGTTTGCCATGTATTCAGAACTGTGTGAGACACTAGAATTACATAAAAAATCATTTTAAAGCTGACTTTAAACTGGCTGCTACATCATGGTTTAAAATGTTGGACCAACAGATGGAGTAATGGCTATATCGCTGGACTCCCATGTAGTCAACCGTGGTTCAAGTCCCAGACCCGGTGGCTTAAACTTAGGCCAGGCGCGTGTGTGTGCATGACCAAGATCCCGAGAGGAGAATGGAGGAGAAGGGATTGTAGCATGGCCATCCCCCCTGGGGGGCACAGATTTCTCACTTTCTGTCTGTCTCACTCTGTCTTCCTAGCGAGTGCACATGCCCTGTAGTAAAAACCTCTCCAAAAAAATTAAAATGTAAATGTCATGCTGAAAAACACAAACTTAAAGATCAGTAGTTGGTGTAGTGGCTATGTCGCTGGACTCCCATGTAGTTGACTACTGTTCAAGTCCCAAACCCAGTGGCTTCAACTCACACGGGGTGCATGTGCGTACATGCCCAAGATCTCAAGAGGAGAATGGAGAAGGGATTGTGGTGTGGCCATCCACCCTGGGGGGGTAATTTCTCACTTTCTGTCTGTCTCTGTCTTTCTGGCAAGTGCACGCGCCTTAAAGCAAAAACCTCTGTACACAAACACGCGGGCGCGCACCAAAAAAAAAAAAAAAAAACACAAATTTAATAGGCAAAAACACCTCAAACAAACAAAAACAAATGGACTCTTCTCCAATATAATCTTTTTCTAATACCTCCCAGAGCAAGTTGGACTTATTTTCTAGGGCAGCATGAACTCATCTGGGTACATGATCACAATGCAGAAGGCAGAAGGATACGTCCCAGCTTGAGTTTTCAGACAGAGGCGGAAATGGTGCTCATCCACGTAGTGTGTCTCCATGGAGTGAATGACCCGAGTTCTCACAGCCAGGGGCCTTCGATGAAGCACCCGGAGAGGTGTTTTCTGGTCGATCTTTAAGTCCTAGAGGAGGATACAGTACAAAACTGGTGAGTCAGAGCTTTGCCACCTAACCAAGCCTGCCTCAGCACCTCCATGGTCATCCAGAGCTCACCACAGCTGTTTTCTTTAGAAAGCTCCATCTACCGCTGTCAGAGTAAAAACTAGTACTGTAAGAAATTGAATCGGGTCAGCCAGTGGCCATGTTCGTGTTGGTTGGATCCCATATGGTTAGAGTCTCCCACCCGGCGGCTTGAGAAACACGCCCAGCACATGTGTACTCATGCCCCAAATCCCAAGACTGTGCATGGCCATCCCCGCTGGGGGTGCTTTCTTGCTGTTTCTCTCTCCCTCTCTGTCCCTGTCTCTGACAAGTGCATGTGCCCTATAGCAAATTTTAAAAAGAAAAGAAATTGCATCCCCTTTGATCCAAACTCTGTGGCACTACCCAAAACCTAGTCCACTGATTACTCATTTTTGGTATCCCGGTATTCTCACCATAAAAAAGGGGAGAGAGCTTAATGATCCTCAAGGTCTCGAAGTCTTCTTTTATATTTTATTCATTTACTTGTCTTTCATGTTCAAGAAGTTGGTTAGGACCTTAGAGTTCTATCTTTCTCTTCACTTAGCAAGGCTCTTCTAGAGGACAATGCTCTTCCTTTGTCTTCTAGCCCAACAAAGTGGCCTGCTAGTGGGATTTCAGGCTGAGGTGAGAAATGACTGGAGGCAGACGTGGGACATCAGTGTCCCTGATGCATATGGGCACACTGCATGTTGATTTATTCTGCCATGTTTGGGTTTGTTTGTTTGCTTAGATGAAAGGACATACCGGGGAAAGATGCTTCATTGTTTAGGGTGATGTTTCGATGTAATAATTACAGAGAAGTGTGCACAATAAAGCAGGACCTCTAATACATGTTAGCCTAGCCTGAAAACAATATTGCATGCTTTTTTACAATTCAGATTTTTTTAAGGACCAAGACATATTTTTCTCACAATTATTTCAAATTAGAGATTTTCTTGTGTGTTGTAAGACATAAATTAAGAAATAGAGGTTAATACTGTAAAAGGTCAACTAACTCTAAGTTTTAAAAATAGATATTGGCATAACCAGAAACACAGGTTCATAAGAACTTTGAATTCTCTGCCATTTCTTGTTGGAACAACTCTTCCTCATTTACATGATTAGTGAATGCCTGAAGCCCTGCTAAGAAAAGAAAAGGTTTCTGCCTGGTCTCCCCTCTGTCAAGTTCTCCACAAAAGCAAGCAAGCATGTTCTGACAAAGACCACACTTGAAAGGGTCTGATTGCTTTTATCAGAGCAGTGAGTCAAGGGCCCTCCTAACTCTGCAGTTTTTATGAGTTACTGGTTCTTTGATTTTAGAAGCACTTTGTTCTGAGGAGATAAGCTGTCTCCATAAGGTTTGACTTTTCTCTGGCCAAAAAGGACAAAACGATGAAGGACAAGGTGAAACTGAAGGAATCTGTAAAGACAAGGGCCCCTGCTTTAGAGTACAGAAATCGCTAGCCTTTAAATGAGCACCTACGAGTGCTCTTCTCCCCTGCTTCCTTTGCCTGTAACATCACTTCCAGTACTTTGATCATGGGACAGTCAGTTATTGGAAACATCAACTAAGCTTCCAACACAACACTTGGAGCCACACGTACTGATTCATCTTTTTTGGTGTTTGTTTTTAGCCAACAGAAGGAAAGCATCCCATTTACCGTGATTGCACTTTAGTCCCCATGAGGTTGAATTTTCAGAAACACACTTTTCTTTTTCCTTAGAAGTAGTTTTCCTTAGGGCCAGCCTGTGACATGGTGGTTGGGGCGGCTGGATCTCATATGACTGATTATGTGGTTCAAGTTCTGAACCCCATGGCTTGAGAAACACACTGGGCGCATGTGCATGTGTGCCCAAAATTCCAAAAAGAGAAAAGAAGGGAGCAGAAAACAAAAAGCAGCATGACTAGATTGTCAGTAAAGGATATGTTTGGTAGAAGAACAGTATATTTTTAATTTTTATAGTCATTGCCATGTTGTTTTCCAAAAAGACTAAAACACTGCACGTTTCTGCTGACAACTGTCAGTAGAAAGAACGATACTTCTCCGCTCCACCCACTAGGTGTTATTAGTTTAAGGGGACTAAAGTGATGTCTTATTGTTACTTCAACCTTGAGGTAGAACATCTTTTCAAATGACTCTTGGCCATTTCAATGTCTTCAAAGATTCAAGGCTATCTGAATGAACTCAATTACTGTATTTTTATGCAAATAAGAATGTTTGAAAACTATAAATATTACTAGAAATCAACTAGTGACATCAGTCTACATGGGCTGTCCTTTCAACTGCCTGTTCATATCCTTTTGTCCATTTTTGTCTATTGGATTTTTTTTTTTTTTTGAGAGAGGTATTTGCTATAGGGGGCATGCGCTCACCAGAAAGAGAGAGAAACAGAGAGAGAGAAAGCGAGAAATCACCCCCCAGGGGGGATGGCCACGCCACAATCCCTTCTCCTTCCTTCTCCTCTCAGGATCTTGGGCACGCACACACATGTGCCCCGCATGAGTTTAAGGCACTGGGTCTAGTACTCGAACTGCAGTCAACTACGTGGGCGTCCAGTGACATAGCCATTACTCTAACTGCTGGTCCTGGATGTTTGTATTTTTCATGATAAATATAAATCCTATTTATGATATGTGTTGACATGTAATTTGTTTTTCACACAGCTAAATGTATGTGTGTATGCGTAAATTATCATGTGTTATCCACTTATATGTTGGTATAAAATATACTCTTTTCTCCTCCTCCTTCTTCTTCTCCTTCTCCTCCTCCTTCTGCTTTGTCAGAGGGCACATGTACTCACCAAAGAGAGAGGGAGAGGGAAAGTGAGTTATTACCCCTCCCCATAGGAGATCATCACTCTACAATCCCTTTTTCTCTTTTCTTCCCACTTTTGGGATTTTGAGACACATGCACCCACATCCAAGCGTGTTTCTCGAACTGCTGGGGCCAGGATTTGAACCATGTGGTTGGCCATGTGGGATCCGCCTAACAACCACCATGCCATTGGCTGACCCATTCTTTGCACTATTTTTTTGAATGGCCAGCAGATGGCGTAGTGGTAAAGGTGCTGAACTTCCAGGTGGTTGACTGTGGTTCAAGTCCTGGACCCAGTGGCTTGAAACTCATGCCAGGCACGTGTGTATGTGTGCAAAAAATCCTGGGAGGAGAATGGAGAAGAAGGGACTATTGTATGGTCTTCCTCAATGGGGAGGGGTGATTTCTCGCTTTCTGTCTCTGTATCTCCAGCGAGTGCATGTGCTCTATAGCAAAAATTTCTCAAAAAAAAAAAAATTATTTTAATTGCCAGAGGGTGCAAGCACTTATCAGAAATAGAAAGAGAGAAAGCATTCGTGTATAGGGTGTGGTCATGCCACAATCCTTTCTCTGTTTCTCCATCCTGTCAAGACTTAGGGCATACACACATTTGCCCGGTGTGATTTTTCAAGCTGCTGAGGCCAGGACTTGAATCACATTTGGCCAGGTAATATGCAGCTTCCTTAACCACTAAGCTACAGTGCTACCCCAAGATAAACCTTACATCTTATCTTTTTCACCTCTTAGCACTTTGGGGAACATTTTCCTATGTCAATAAATAACCATCTACTAAATAAATGTTTAACAGCTAGGTAGTAATAGCCATTTCACAAAAAAAGCCATAATAGTAAACCAGTCTACTCTAGGTCATCTGGACTGTTCAAAATATTGCCCATTTGAACAATATTGTGAAAACTGTATGCATCGTGTGCCCAGTTATTATCACTTCTTGCATTTTGAAAGTTAATGTTCTTCACAGAAGAAACAAGGCAGATGAAAGGAAACATGCAAACTAGGAATCAGATGCTCTACAGTGATCACAGCACGGACCGAAATGTATATGCTTTACATATATTATCCAATTTTTTATCTATGCACTTACCTTAGCGTCAATTCCATTAGATACGTTCTATTTTATATTTGTTTCTTACTGATGACCAAATATCATAATAGCAGAGCTGAGTGTCTTCTGTGTGCCATTCTAAGTGCTTTATATAATTAAACTCATTTAACTCTTTTAACAAACATTAGAGATGAAAAACTCGAAGCATAAAGAGATTAAATAACTTCTCCAAAGTCACCAACTAAGAAATGCAGACTTAGGATTTGCACACAGGTGACTGTCTTCAGAATTAGGCTCTTAGTGGCAACACTGCCTTGCCAACAGAGTAGATAAATTACCCAGTCATTCAATCAGGAAGTGGCAAAAACAAGACTTGAATCTAGGTCTCACAGACGTGCACCCCACACTCTATGGCATACTGGTAATAAAATAGAAGACTGTGGACTCTTTTCTTGTTTGTTTATAAGCCAGAATGTGCATGGGCTTGCCAGAGCAAGATAGTCAGAGCCATGGAGAGACAGAGAGAAGAGAAAGCATCCCTGAGAAAGGCGTGGGCACACCGCAAAGCCCCTCTCCATTTCTCCATCCTGATTGAATTTTGGGCACATCTACTCACATGCCTAGTGTGTTTTTCAAGCCACTGAGGCAAGGATTTGAAACATGCAGTCAGCCATGTGGGATCCAGCTCCCTTAACCATTAGGCCACAGGGTCGGCCCAACTGTGGGCTCTTTTATAGGCAGTAGGAAAAATAATAGCACTGAAACTACCTTTATGCCATTTAGGAATTCGATGTCTTCCTTCTGTATTGCTTTATTTGTCCATATTAAGGCACTATACGTCTTGGTCTTTTCCTCTTCACCTTCTTTCATATGTCCTATTGCCTCTCTAAACAAAAGCAATAAGAGAAGTTGTCTGAAATACACACAGACCTTGCCCCAAATTTCCCTTTTGTTAAAAACTGCTTTATTGAGAAATAATTTATGTATATTTTCCATTTTAACTGCATAATTTCATACCTTCGTTTGTTTACAGAGTTGAGCAGCTACGACTACAATCCAATCTGATACTTGAAAAAGGAAGCTCCATGCCCATTAGTAGTACTTCCCAGAATCCCTTTCCCCCTAGTCTATATAGTCACTAACTGACTTTCTGTCTCTATAGATTCCCCTATTCTGAATATTTCACATAAAATGAAATCATGCAGCCAGCAGGTGGCATGGTGGTTAAGGCACTGGACTCCCACACGACTGACCACAGTTTGAGTCCCAGACCCAGCAGCTTGAAACTCACACTTGCTACACGTGCGTATGTGCCCAAATCCCGAGAGGAGAATAGAGGAGAAGGGATTAAGGCGTGGCCATACCCCTGGTGTGTATGTGTGTGTGTGTGTGTGTGTGTGTGTATGTGTGTGTGTGTGTGATTTCTTGCTTTCTCTCCAGCAAGCCCATGTACCCTATAGTAAAAATCTCTCCAAAACTTAATTTACTTATTAATTAAATCATGCAGTGTATGGTGCTTGGTGACTTTCACTTAATGTTTTCAAGGTTCCTCCATGTTGTAGCATTTAATTAGTAATCGATTCCTTTTTATTGCTGAATAGTACTTCTTTGTAGGAATATACTCCATTTTGTTTATCCACAGACATTTGAGTCATTTCTACTTCTTTGCTATTATGAAAGATGCTCCTATAAACATTCGTGTGCAAGTTTTTATGTGGGTGTACATTTCCAATTCTGGAATTACTGGGTCATGTGATATTTCCATATTCAGCTTTTTGAGAAAGTGCCACACTTTTCCAAAAGGGCCACATGTACAATCCCACCAGCAATGGATGAGGTTTAAATTTCTCCAGGTCCTCACCAGCATTTGTTATTTTCTGTCTTTTGGAGAATAGCAGCGGGTGTGGTTTTGATTTGTATTTCCCTAACAACTAACGATGCTGAGCATTTTTTCATGTGCCGATTGGTTAGCCATAGATCCTCATTGGAGAAAGGTCTACTTAATCATTTCCTCACTTTTAATTGGGTTGCTGGAGTTCTTTGTATATTCCAGCTGCAATTCCCTTATTAGAGATATGGTCTGCAACTAAAACTTGCTTTCAAAATCATCTCCAGTGAGCCAGTCCTTACCTTGTGACAAGCTGCAAGTCTCGTACTTGGATTTTGTTAGATGACATATTAATTTTCTGTAGTAGCAGAAAAAGAAAACAATTAGCCACTCAAGCTCTGTTAGAGTTGCAGAAACATGACGATTTCCATGTCATGAAGTGGTTTACCTGCTGAAGTTCCTTAATTTCTTGTGAAGTGAAATGTACTCTATGAGGATTCACCAGCTCAATTGCAAAGGGCCTTCCTGGCAGCACACACCCCGTCATGAAACAGAAACGTGTTGATGGAGTTAACATTTGGGCTAATGCAAGAGGGTTAGGAGGTGTGAAAAACGGGCTGAGCTCTAGAGGACCCAACAGTTTTGTGACATGACTACATCTGGGGGAGGGAAGAATGTGTGAAAAGAATCAAGGGGCTTCTGGTGGGGTGGAGGGCTGCTAAACCCCAACACAGGCAACATGTGAAATCGAGTGCTTTCCCAGAGGTCCAGAACAAGCCTGTGTTAACTGCCGAATAAAACTCAAACCACCACTAATTAACTTGGTTGCACTAATGTAACGCTGTCACACGCAGCAATGCCCAGGTACACCAGGCTGAAATCCGTCCTCCTACCCTGATCTACTAGTGTAATGGAAATGCTGTGATCCCACAAGAAGAAAGGGCTATCACTCTCAAGTCACTCAGGATTAATTCTCTTTGTCTTTCTTGTCATGCATCGAGGTAAAATGAAAGAAAGGAAGGCTAAGAGAACAGAACCCCTTTTTAACACGATGTGGATATTGTAGACTGTACTGATGCTTTTGAAATGTTATTCAATCAAACAATTAGTAATCCAACTTGGGGTAAAAATCAGGCACTTCCTTGTGAGGGTACATACAGGTCTCTTTTAACTAACTAAAAGTATGTAATAGGAACGGCCTCTGAAGGAATGATTCCCGTTGAGACATAATTTATAAAGGTAACTTCACAATCCACACAGTTTCCCCATTTGGAGAAGCTCTGGCCCTGCCCACTTTGGTTTTGACTAAGTGGCTGTGGTAAGCCTGCTCTCTGGAAAGGGTGATAATCGGAAAGTTAGCTTTAGTCAGGTGATGCTGTTGCAATCTTACCATTTCCTAATGTCCTCACATCTACATCTTCTCTTCCAGAGGATGAAAAATTAAAACCTTTGGAAAACAGATAAAAAAAAAAAATCAGAGGCATACTAGTCCTAAGATACTTGTTCTCAACCTTCAGTAGAATTCTAATTTAAGGTCTGGAACAATCTCCAGGAGAATCCCAAGCGTCAGTAATCATCCTGCATGGCAGAGTTAAGCGTTTCTGATGTCCAAGCTAAATCTTAACTATCATCCCACACCCCTATGCCACAGGAAAGCCAAAGGCAGAGCACTGTTGAGAGGAAGCCCCCTGCCACTACTCTGGCTACACGCTTGTGGTGAAATCTATCA